TTCTGCCTATATTTCTATCTCTTTGGTGTATTGGGCTATTTATGTTTGTAGGATAGCAATATCATTCTTTTTTTATTAATGAATTTTATGATATTTTTATTTGATTATATTGTATCAGAAGCTATCGTTGAGAATTGTGCCTATGATTATTAATTTCTCTTAATTGATGTTGTATATTAGAAGATTTATTGATTATTTATGAGTGAGCTATGTATACTAATTATTTTATATGTTCCTATATTTATATCTTGTCGTGCTTTTTCTATGTTTTTTTCTTAGTTCATATTGGAGTAAGCATTTATGTGTAGTGATATTAGTTAGTTTTATAGTACATTATTTTCATTTTTTGATTCAAATCTTATAAATAAAATATTATCCCCCTCTCTGTAGCACCATTCATGACCCGATAAAATAATATCATTTTAAAATTCAAAAATTTTGGGGCGTTACAATTTCATTTTCTCCATAGTCACCGGGATGCAGTAGGGTTGAGGAACAAATCATTTCTTTTTTATAATGAATTAGATTATGTTTATGGAAAAGACAGAGCTACTGGAGAAGGTGCAGAAAATCCAATTGATGTAATAGAAGATATTGAATTAGAGGAGCAAGAACAATAAAGCCAATATGAATCTTGTCCTCCACCAGTTTTCAATGGAGAAGCAGGTAGTGAATAAGTAGAGACAAGTCATACAAATCTACATCCATATTCTAGTTCTACTCAAACAACATATGTTGCGCCATTAAGCACTAGAAATAAAAGAAGAAAGACAGAGACATTGGAAGTTATTCAAGAATTTTCAAGTCAAATGGATAAATTAGGTAACTTGATGACAACTGCTGGAAAATATATTGGTAGACTTGCAAATTATTTTAAGCATGAGTCTGAGGGTGTAAAGGGAGAATGGCTGTTAATGCTAAATTAATGAAGATTGAAGGATTATCTCAACAAGATATTATTATTAAGGTAGGAAGGAAGTTTGCACTTGACACTATGGAAACTGATTACTTTTTAGTCTGCCAGAGGATTATAGGAAAAAACTTATGTGCTTAGTTTATTTATCCCTGAAAATCTATAATTTATTAGAACTTTAAAATGTTATGACCCTTAATATGTAGATTAGGACTTTTTTATATAATGTGATGGTAAATGATATAGTAGAAGCTAAGAAATAGTTGGTTATGTAAGTGAAGTTATATATACTGTTATGGTAAATGATGTAGTAGGAGATGTATATTTTGGGTGCTAAAATTGAGATGTATACATGAAAATTTGTAATATTTTGGATGTTAAATATTATGATAATATTTTTATTGTTATTATCATTATTATTATTATTATTATGTAAAAAAACATGATATGTTGATTATAAGTGAGTTGAATGGTGGCAAATATATATAAAATGTGGTTCATAGAGTTTCTTCAATGAATTATTTCAATTGATATACTCAAATTCATATTAGGGGTATTATTGACATTTCATATTTAAAAATTTCATTAACACAATTTTATATATCAACCAAACATACTCCCATGGTACTTCCCGAGAAGTAGGAAAATAAATACAAGTTTGGACACTCATTGTTATAATTTTCCGTTTAGACATCAAAATAGAAAAAAATGACAAGTAAAAACATCAAAAATAACATTATTCCATTTAATTAATACCTAAACCTGCTTTAAATGAATTTTTATGGATTGGATACCCACAAAAACCCACTCCCGCTTCCATCCTAGTTTTAAGGTTACTATGGTTCAATTTGCATGAATGCTACATGTCTTAGGAGCTCAAGGCGCGTGCCTCTGGACTGGGGTCATGAGACTCATTGCTAGAGCCACAAGGCCCATGTTGGAGAGGCCCTATTTTGATTCATGCAAAAAGTGTTATTTTCAAGTTGAATTTCATTTTGTGATAAATTGGAGTGTACGCCTTCCTCGGGGCGGCCGCTCCTAGTCCGAGAAAGGGTAGAATCTCGATTTATGATTATCTATTCGAATAAGGCTCCATTTGTCCAAACATTTAAGAATAATATATAATTTTTTTAAAGGATGTATAATTTAAATTAATTGTTTATATAATTTATTTCTATTGAACTTATACCAAAAAAATAAAAAGGTCCAACCTTTTACTTAAAAATAAATTATTTAATATAAATTACATACAATTAAACAATAATTCAATATTTTGATAGAAAACAAATATAATTAAAAATAATAAAAAATATTAAATATTTTCTAATAAAATATTTCAATATACTCAAATATTTTTTAATTTTATAATTTTTTTTAAATCAATAATTGAGAAATTTTTATGTTACAAATTGAATTTTACTATAATGTGATAGGTCCTACATTCAAGGACGATGTGTGAAAATAAGCTATAAAGTAATTTTATATTTAATGATTATATATAATATATAATTTCTGGATAGGATAAAATTTTTATAATAAATAAGGGTGTAAATTGGTTTGGAATATACCGATCCAAATCGAAATTATTGAAATGAAATTTTGGAATATGTAATTTAAAATGAAATGTATGTTTTAAAATATTGGTATATGAAATATAGATGAAAATATAATTCAAAATCCCATGTTCCAATCCATCTATCAATATTTTCTTTTATTTTATTTTTAATTATATATTTTAATAATAAAATATTAAACTTGAGTAAAATATTTTTAAAATTTAAAATTAGAAAACTCCTATTTCATTTTAAAACTGTACAGTTTGATAAAATATTAACTTTAATAATAATTATTATAAGCTTGAAAATTCAATATTTAATAAAAAAAAGGTCAACTTCACACTTATAATTTGCATATTTCTCATTGATTCTCTCTTATTCATGTCAAGTGACGAGGAAAAAATATTATCCTTTTTTTTTTTTTTTTTTTATCCTTTTTTTTTTTTTTTTTTGTATTTGACAATAAAATTTCTTCTTAAATGATCAATTTTGAAATTTTTAGAAATTTTTTACTCGAATTACTCTCTTAACTTGTTCTTTACTTTTTATTTTCCTATTTCTCTTTATAATTTCTTATTTTTAGGTTTTGTTGTACTATTTCATGATTACTTCACTATTTCTTTTCTATTTTAATATTTGTTATTTCATTATTAATTCAAAGGATTGTCAAGTGAAGGTAATATCCAGGCGAAGAGAAATATTTGTTATTTCTCTTGCGTATATCCCGATTCCTCATTAATGAGCTTCAGTTTTTAATTATATAAAATATTTTTTTTTTTTTGGTAATATAGTTATATTTTTTGTATTTATATTCAATTTTGAATAAAATATTGAGTATTTCTTATTAAGTTTAAAAATTTATATCTTAAAATATACCATGATTTACTAGATTTATGTTTAGGATTGAAAAATTTAGAATCACAGAATTTTCATAAAATAATATGGCATAAAATTTTAAATTTGAAAAAAATATTTAGAACTGAATAGAATGAAATCTAAGATATTTTGGAATGGAATCGAAACAAGAGTCATTACATTTCATATTAACCAAATTACATCCTATTAGTAATAGTACTATAATTCCGAATTAAGATATGATAAAACTTCCAGAATATAAATATAATTAAAGCTTTAATTAATATAAAACTTCTTAATTAGAGATTGTAATAAATTTCTAATTTATTAAATTTATAAAGATTTTTTTTATTTCTTATCCAATAAAATTTAAATTTAAATAAAAAATTAATATAATCAATTAATTATCTTTATTTATTCAACCAATAAAATATTAATTATCTTTATTTATTCAACCAATAAAATTAAGGTCATATTTTTGTAGATCTATACACTCCTCGGAGCCAAAAGGATAGACTTGTTTCTCATATGATTTGTCTTATACTATAGGCTATCTTACATTTCAAAGGATAATTAATTTGTCATTGACTAACATACTCCTTTTTAATGTATCTTATTATCAATGATTTTTCCATTTTATTCTTTGTTCAAAATAATATTTAATACAAATTTAGAGATATAAAGAGAAAACATAAATAAAATTTATTGCTCTAATCATATTAATTACATTCTTTAACAGATATAAAAATCAAAATAAATCTATTTTTATATTTCCTCAAAAAAAAAAAAACAGGAGGAAGTATTAATTATTTACAGGTTATAAAAAGAAAAAAAAAAAGAACATTCACCTCAAAAAATGTTCTTAAAAAAAAAATAAAAATACTCCAGTAATTATCGTGAATATTTGGATTTCTTTTCTTTAATCTCTAGGAATAATTTATCCAAGACAAGACGTACTGTATGACCCTTGTTAGACACACAATCCTTGATTGTTCACTGCATTATTGCGGTCCTTTATTTATTTATTTTTTATGTGGCATAAGAGAGAGAGAGAGAGAGAGAGAGAGAATGACTTGGTAGAAGTATTGCTCTTTTTTCCAACCATCTGTCTATCTCTTCACATGTACATTTTATTAACCCATCGTCTCCAAGGAATTAAGGGAACCAAAAAGTTCCCAAATGCTTGCAGTTTTGCTTGTATTTGACTATAGAGAAAGAAAAGGAAAGCTGTAGATAGAGGAGAGAAATAGAAGCTTTCTTGAACTGTCGTTTTCTTATATATACTCTCGAGGTATAGTAAACGACCCCAAATCTCTCTCTCTCTCTCTCTCTCTCTCTCTCTCCCAATCCTTTCTTGTTTTCCTATTCTTCTTGCACCACCACACATCCTCTCTCTCTCTCTCTCTCTCTCTCACATCAGTTTCTTGAAGTGGTTTAAACTGAAAAACCTTTCTTTTTCATCATTTTCCATCTTTCTCAATTTCATTTACTTTCTTTCTTTGTTGGAAAAGGAAAAAAAAAAAAAAAAAAAAGTGGAAAAGGAAAAAAAAAAAAAAAAAAAGAAATACCCACTTAAAACAATTTCTTTAAGGGACTCCCTAAATACAACACCTATCGAAGAGATTCACTAAACCATTGATTTTTTTGGAATAAGATGTTCCCAATCCAACGGAGAAAAAAAAAAAAAAAAAAAAGAAATACCCACTTAAAACAATTTCTTTAGGGACTCCCTAAATTCAAAACCTATTCGGAAGAGATTACACAAACCATTGATTTGTTTTGGAATAAGATGTCCCATAAAGGAGGAATTTTAGATAAGCAGTCTTTGAATCAGATTCCAGACCTGTCACTGCAGATAAGCCTTCCGAACAGTGCTCCTTCTTCAATATGCACTGGCACAAATGATGTTGATGATTCAATTTTCGATCTTAAATCACACAGCGACAGTTCAATAAAAGTTGGGTTTCAAGCACAGGACAGTACTGTGCTTTCTTTAGCTAATACAAACAATATAGCTTTAGAGGCAGAAAGCGCTTGGAGAAGAACAAGCTTTCCTGGCAGTGGCTGCCGCGAAAGGGAAGCAAGTATAGACATTCGACCAACTAACGGTCAAATAAATGATGGGATCTCAGTCTCTGCAGGGTTCAAAGCCATAAAGGGGATTCCAGTTTATAACAGTTATGGAGACATAGCGGATCCAAGATTTTTCTATAACCCAATGTCATATTCATCGTCTTGCACTCCTTACCCAGGCGATAACTGCTCTTTTCCTGCCTATAGAGTGACACCAGAGTATCATCACAATCATCATCAATATGGGGGAGCAGAAGTTTATGGAAATGGAATCATTAGATCAAGATTTATGCCAAAGCTACAGAACAACAAGAGGAACATGAGAGCACCAAGAATGCGATGGACAAGCTCTCTCCATGCCCGTTTTGTTCATGCTGTGGAACTCCTTGGCGGCCATGAAAGTAATATTCACTAAACTCATGATCAATATTAATAAATTGAGTCCTTTTTCTTTTCTGGGTTTCCTTCTAACCAGAGCTCTCTAAACTTTGCTTTACAGGGGCAACACCAAAGTCAGTATTAGAGCTTATGGATGTCAAGGATCTAACGCTTGCGCATGTCAAAAGCCATTTACAGGTCTGACCTGATAATAATATTACTTCTTTTTCCTTCTCATAGTTCATAAGAAACCAAAAGAACACTCAAATGTTTGAGTCTTTCTCTCTCTCTATCTCTTTAAAGAAGAGTGAAGACTTTTTTATTTGCCCATAAAAACTGGCACGATAACCGATGAGTGCAGTGAATGAATGAACAGTTGAGTGTGCTTGTTTGTGATAGAGGACAACTTCTCCTTTTTGAGAGAGAGAAAAAGTAGCCATCATTTCTCAATAATAGAAAGCAATTACTCACCTTACCAAACATCAACCTCGTGGTTAATAAACAAACCAAGAAAAATCCACAAAGAGGGAAGCATCTGATTTGGTTTTTCTCTCTCTTTTTCTTCATTTTTTAATTTGACTCTTTCTCTCTCCCTCTCTCCAGAAGTTTTTACTTTTCTTACTAATTTTTGAACATTAGGTTTCATTGTTTTCTATTCATTTTCTTTGTCTCTTTTGGGTCTTGCAGATGTATAGAACTGTTAAGAGCACTGACAAACCTGCAGCTTCCTCTGGTAATTTATCTTTCTTTTCATTTTTCAACTGATTTCTGCTAAACCCATTTCAATTTTCAAGATTTTATTTCACCAATTTACTTTTATCAGATGGATCCGCTGATGAAGATAACTTCTTGTCTGTAACCACTCCCATTAGTCAAAATGCTAACCACTTACTCAACAATAAAGAACTTTCAACTTTCTCTCCTGAACATGAAAATGCTTATTCATGGTGTAGCAACTCTACCAGGTAATAACTAAAGGTGGATTTTTTTATTATTATCACTTTTTTATGAGGTTTTAGATATATTTTTCTTTAGTTCTTCCATTCATGGCTGACTATACACAAGCCTAGGAAATCTAAATCCACATCCTCTTCTCCTTTCTGTTCAAAAACTAGAAAAAAGTGCTTGCTTTGTGACAGCTTTTGCTTTTCACTTGCTTTCTTTCTTTTTTACCTTTTAGCTTTCTTTTTTCCCTGCCTTCTTTCATGTAATCTAAGCTAGAAGGTTGTGCATCATTTAGCTTTCAATAGCATAAGAAATATATTCAACTAAAGGAAGCCTCATTAACTTACTTAGCTAACATTTTCTTTTTCTTTTTTGGAATTTAACAAGTTTTTATTTACTCAATTAACCATATTTTCTTGGCATAAGTATATATAGCATGCTTAATCAAATTTTACATAAACAAAAAAATTTATAAGTGGATGAGTATTGATTTAACACAATTTCATTGATTATGGAAATTAATAATACATCTCTAGAATGTAAATTATTCTTAATATAGAAAATATATCAATGTTTAGAGAAAAATTCTTAAGTAGATTAAGTCTATCTTAGGTAATTAATGTCAAGTTCAGAGCATCAACTTGTTACCAATTAGGATAAGATGATGGATTATAAGTTAATTATAAAAATAATTCTTAAAATAAAAAACAAAAAAGAAAACAAAAAAATGGGTAATTAATGGACAGTAAAAGACAGTACTAAATGTTTTATTTCTTTTTATTTTTTGAAGACAACATGAGATAAGGATATGGCACTCTTGATTTATCCAAATATTGTTTTCCCTTCCAATATTATATTTATGTGACATATATATTTAATTTTGGCAATACTTCTGTTATTAATACCATTTTTTTTTTAAGTTGCATACCATTTTAATTGTTTACCATGCCTTATGGAGTCTTTGTTCCCATCACCTAATACTCCTTTGTTTGATTATCAAATGAATTGAAAATATATAATTCATTTGATTAGCAAATGAAATTTAGTTAATAAATTATAATTATTTTTAGAATTTTTTTTATTCATATCAAATATGAAAATCTGAATGTCATAAATTTTTTTAGAGATCAATAAGAAGTGTTTGGATTGAGGGTTTTGAAATCCATGAAATTAAAAATTTTCTATTGAGTAGTTATACAATTTTTCCTATTTGATACACAGATTAAATTTATGGATTTTTTTAATCCTTCTTAAAAATATGGAATTTAGGAAAATCTCACCTTTCACCACAAATATGGAAATTAAAAACAAGATGAATTTTGTTTAATTCCATATTCATATCGATTTTACTATTTCTAAAATACGTAAATTATTCATACAAGGAAACTAATAGCTTTTACATGTGAATAAAAAATTATAAGTAATTAGCATTTAATATACTTATTATATTTAATTTAACCATCATAAATGACTTTCATAATATAAATTTAATTATAATTTTAGTGAAAAAAAAACTTTCTAGTTTAAAAATGGAGTTGTACTCGAAGAATATATTTTAAAATTCTCCGGCAACTTCAAAAGAATTCTGCAGAAAAGCAGAAAACAGAAATTAGACTTATTATCAAAACCTTAGAAGAATAAAAGGCAAGAAGTATATAAACCAGCTAAAGTCGGCTTAATATGCACTTATACCCTAAACTTTGGAGTTTGTTGCAATTACATTATAATTTGAATTTGTGACAATCACACTTTTAAATGAAAGGTAAAGACTGTTTACACCCTAATATTTAATTAAGGGTTGATTTGCAATAAAATATACATTTTCATGGGACCTAATGCAAAATCCACTTTATGTTGTGAACAATGAAAAATATCATCATTAGCATCATTACCTTTTGATATTGCTGGTTGGTTCAAATTATAAAGCTAAACTAATTAAATAGATCTTTTAGTTTCAATAATATTAATATATGTATATTTTGATGATAATGCAGTACACATAGACTGGTATTAGTTAAAACATAAATTTTAAACATGCATAAATTATTCTAAATTCATCAAATTCTAGGATTGTCAAATTGTTAAAATTTTTATTTTTTCAAAATTTATTTTCAATTATTCTTCTCACGTACAATAAATACATAAACTAATACACAATATCACTTGTGTCTATCATCACATATAAACATCTATGAACTAAAGTGAAAAAAATCAATATAGTAATTTTGAAGTCACTGTCCAAACTCGAAGTACTTTCTATGAATTAACTGCTTTCTATGAAAGCAAAATTTTGCAATAATTAAGGATGTACTCAAGTAATAGATGAGAGTTATTTTAAATTAGGTTTTTTTTTTTTTTTCCCTCTTCAATGGTGTTGTTTCGAGTTTTTATTTAAGTTTTGGTTAAATTAACCTCAAGCTCAATTATGGGTCCCATAAAAATATGTTTTTTATTGCAAATTAACCCTTAATTTAGTTGTGGGGGTGTAAATACTCTTAACTTTTCATTTTGAAGTGTTGTTGTTATAAAGTTCAAAGTAGAATGTAAGTACAACAAACTCCAAAGTTCATAGTATAAATGCATATTAAGCCAGGTAAAGCCAATAGATAATTTTTTTTTTCTATTCAACAATAGATTTTTAACATATAATATTTATAGTTCGAAATATAATTTTAAATAATAATTAAAAATATTTTTATCCTTGTAAATTAAAATTTTTTAAACTAATTTTCAATATTATAACAAAACAATGGAAAATAATTATTTAGAAAACATTTTTCCTGCAAGATAAATTATTTTTCAAAAACAAAATGAACCTCAATTGATTCAAAACACTCATTACTATAAATATAACACTCATTTACTACTCCCTCCATTCCTAAATACTTACCATATTTTGGAATTTAACGTTCCTTAAGAAAATAATTAAATTTGTCTAAATTTTAATAAATTATTAAGTAAATTGACTATATTATCCTTAATTTAATATATCTAAACATCAAATTTTTGAAGAATTGAAGTAATAATTATTGGTTTAATACAAAGGGTAAACATTAAAAAAAAAAGAAATTTATTACTCCAAACCATAAATGTGACGAGTATTTTGAAACATAATATTTTCTCAAATGTAATAAATAATTAGGAACCGAGAGAGTATTTGATATAAATGAACCATTTACAGATTTTCAAATATCATATTTTTTTTGACAAAATTTTATATTCAAATCAATAAAATTAAATTAATAGAATTTAAATCTTATTTTTTTCATAACAAACACAAAAACTTAGATTTAAGGAGTTAATTTGAAGTTTAGAAATACGGATTCAATGAATTGGATAGCCTGTCTCTGTATATATTTAAAGAAAAAAAAAAAAAAAGTAAAAAAAAAAAAAAAAAAGAGAGATAGAACTAGGGAAGATAACTAATAAGAGAGGATTGCACATAATGCATTCATTATCTAAACTGCCATCCATGACAAATTAAGAAATTTTTTTTACAATATAAGAAAACTTCATCAGGAATTTGTTAATGACCATTTAAAAGCATTTATCTTTAAAACTACTGTAACTATATAAAAAAAATCCATTTATGTATATTACCAATTAAAGATATTAAGGTTTTTTTTAATAAAAAATATTAAGTTTTGAAAAGTAGGGACAATTGTAAATTATATAATTTTTCTTTTTTTTTTTTTAAGAACAATTATATAATTATCCTTAGATGCTTTACACATCTAAGCTATTATATAATTTACCAAAATTGAGTTTTTAGATAATTTTAAAGAAACTTTCAAATATGGTCAACATGAGTCAAAGGCACAAAATAAGGAAAGCTAGTGAGATAGGATTTTTTTTTTTAAAGTTCAAACATGTTACTCGTTTTCACTCTGAGTTAGCCCAAGCATTAATTCCAACAAAAAAAAAAAATTGAGTCAATCCCTCTTTCAGTTGAAAATTATTAATTTAAGATAAATTATACATTGCAATCAAGTTTAATAAAGAAATTCAACATTATTCTAAATAAAACATAATAACTTCAAAATGGTATTTATAATCACCGTATACATAAATTCATCTCTAAATTTTATTTATGCTAAATATGTAAATTTACCTCTGAATTTTACAATTTTAATCTTGTGGCATCCTCAACTTTACGAATGAACTATTATGCACTTGAACTTATAAATTTTAATAATATTATACACATTTCGATACTAATATCAATAATTTTTATGATTTTTAGCTTTTATATATAAAATATCGACTTGACATATAATTAGCATGACTTCGGAACGTTGATTTTCATAAATTTTAAATTTTTAAGAAGTGCTTAATTGATTTAATTTTGTAAGTTAAAGTATATAATAAAATAATTTTAAAAATTAATGTGTTTAATAGATGTAGTTTTATAAGTCAAAGTGTTTGATGAGTCAAAGTAAATGATGAAGGTGCTACAAGGTTTAAAATAAAAAAGTTAAGGGGTGAATTATATATTCTGCCTATTTATAATGCATGAGAGGTATGTCATATATGAACACGAATATTTATTTATTTTCAGATAAAGATGGAAATTCAAAGTTTAACAAAATACATTTTGGCTAACTGGTTAAAAATACCTCAAACTGTGCAAGTAGTTTTAGTTATACTCTAAATTCAATTTTCTTTTTTTGGTACTTTGAACTAATTTCAAATTTCATCCAATTTAATGAATAAAATATTATTTTATACTCTAAATTCAATTTTCTTTTTTTGGTACTTTGAACTAATTTCAAATTTCATCCAATTTAATGAATAAAATATTATTTTTATAGATCTAATGAAAATAATATTTTATTCGTTAAATTGGATATAATTCGAAATTAGGATGCTATTATACTAAAATTGAAGTTCAAGAGTAGGAAAAAAAAGTTGGATTTTAGGTACAATTAAAACTACCAGCAAAATTTAGGGTATTTTTAATGATTTAGCCATGCATTTTTCTTTTTAACGAACAATTAATGATAAATAATTAAAACCGAATGAGGGAAAACTAATTAATAATGTTATTGTGAAATTGACAGATGTAGAAATTGTCAAGCTTTCTTATTTGTGTAATAAAATTATAAATTTGTGGTATAAATAAATGATTTAGGTTATACATTTTATCAAGTTGTCTTATTTTTGAAATTTAATAACTTTTAAGTTTATGTAATAGCAGTATATAATTGACAAATTAACATTTTTGTACTTTCACTTTTTTTTTTTTTTGATAAATTACTAGAGTTCTCAAAATTCGACTATAACTACCACTTCGTCCCTACTATTTAGAAAAGTTAATATATATAAAGTTTTTAAAATTTAGTCGCATTAAATTATATAGTCCCTCCGTCTAAAGACTGCTATTGTTATTATTAAATACACACGACATTTAATATAGTTTTACTATTTAGGCTCCATTTATTTTTATAAAATAATTTGCATGAAAATATTTTTCATAATTTTTTGTTATTTGTGGTGTTCAAGAAAATAAGTCAACAGAAAATATTTTTCTAATCAAAGGAAAATTAAGTAATTTTTTAAGGAAAACAAATTTTCCATTTTCGAGAGAATAAAACATTTTCTGGATATTGGCGAACCTTATAAATCCATATTTTTTTAATTTATTAATCATCATAGTCACTACCACCAGTCACTATTTACCATTGACTATCACCACCGGCCACCATAACCGGGTTTCATAATTTCTATATATATATTTTTAACCGGGTTTCATAATTTCTATATATATATTTTGCATTCTTTTTATATTTAACAATAAAATTTTTAAATTATAAAATTTCAATTATTATTAATATTTTTTATGGTCTTATGAGATAAAGACTTTAATATTTTTTTACTAATTTTCAATATTGCAAACAAACAATAGAAAATAAGTCACTTGTAAAATATTTTTCAAGGAAAATGTTTTCCATGAAAATATTTTTCAGCAAGTTATTTTACAGAAACAAATAGAGCCTCAATTTTTCATATTTATCACTAAATAATTATTTAGCCTCTCACTTAAGGGTAAAAGTGACATTTTGTATAGAATAAATCCCTTTCCTGACAAGGAGACTCTAAATTTGGGTCAAATTCCATCTCAAAATCGGATTAGGAAAAGTGCCTTTTCTAAAATAGTTTAATGGGAGCAACCAATAGAGACTTTGCAGTAATTTCTCCAAATAATAAGGATGAAATAATAATTTTGTTCAAATTTTAGGGCCTTCACAGTATTTTCCCCTTTCATTTTTTAAACGTGCACCAGTATATTTCAAATACACAATTTGTTATGAAATATATTTTTGTACAATATCCATTAACTCAATAGTTGTTTAAGCAAATTAATTGATTTTCAAAAAAATAGTTGAAGTAAATTAAAAGGTGAATTATTAATATTTACTGTCTTTTAATCTTATTAAACAATTATATGTAATAGCTAAACAAACTACATAATTGTTATATTGATACTATTAACACTTACACTTGTCAACTGAAAAACAACAAATTTTGTATATCTTATTACTATAATTCAAAATTATTTATTATTCAGAAAAAGTAAAAACAATAATTTATATATCTTATTACTATAATTCTTGTTCAAAGTGATGAAAGAAACAGCAAATTTAATTTATTTTTTCTCTGGTAGAATTTTTCCATAATAATTTAGTGAAACTAATTGTGGAAAAAGAATCATTATGCATAAAACTAATTAAGTCCTTGTATAATATCAAGTACAAGCTGTTCTTTCAAAAAAAAAAAAAAAAAAAAAAATTCAGAAAAAAAAAAAAAAAAAAAAATCAAGGACAAAGCTGTGTGAACTGTAAAGTTGTAAAAAAAAAAAAAAAAAAAAAAAATCAAGGACAAGCTGTTGACGTAAAAGTTTGTAGATGAATGATTTTGTGTTTGAAACACGTACTTCTGATGTTTCTACTTGCATCATAGTACTCACAACATGCATCATATGTTTCTACTTCTGATGCCATTTGGATTAATATTTATGGGATTGTTGCAGCAGAGGAAGATGGCCAGAAACCCTATCAACTCAACTGTCATCTGGAAACCAATTTAAGGTCAGTCAGACCAATTCTTCTACATGCATGAATTTCCTCTGTAAAGATTGAGTGTTATTAGAGTTCAAGTATGACATTCTCTTTATTCTAATTGTTAATCGGATCGGTTAATTAAGGATGTAGGTGATTGGTTGGGATCGACTTTTCTAGAATCCGGTTTAATACAGTAACCCTAACGAATGAATTTTTTTTATTGAAATTTATTTACCGAGAAAAAAAAAGATAAAATATAGACAATATTAAAAAATCTCTATTTTGATTGATTTGGTCTATAGGCGGCTCATAATACACCTCTAGGGAAGTCTAATCCTAATTTACATCATGTTGTTTCCGTTTAACAGTTGGAAAATCGTTTGTATCATGTTGTATGTTAACCATAGAGTACCATTTGAAATCATTTGGACAGTGCCATGTTAGGATGGTTCTAAAAATACAAAATTAAATAACTAGAGAAAGTGAATAAAAAAATAAATAATTATTTATAATATATAAATAAAATAAACATTACATAAAGAAAGAAAAGAAAAAGGCATCAAAGACTATTTTTTTTCTTTTTTATTTTTAAAAATACATGATGGTACTAAAGCTCTATTTAATAACTCGTGATAGAATTTAATATTATATAATCAAATTTATTATTAGTATAATGTATTAAAAATGCATTGACTATTATTTGCATTATTTTTTATTACAACTCGTCAAACGAATCATTGGTTATAGCACATGAAGTAAAAAATCTATAGCACATGAAATTAACAAAATATCTACATTTATGTGCAGGGAAATGATTTAGCCCAATCAAGAACCATTAGATCATCCTCTGGTCTAGAACTTGAGACACCAAGTTTGGAGTTTTCCCTTGGAAGGCCTGACTGGCAAAGCAACGGACATGATTGAGTGTATCATGTGGCAATTTTTTTTTTATTAACTTTTTGCTTTCTATTTTTTAGTGTAACATACATATCATAGATAATGACAATGATACAAGTATTTTAAGGGTGAAGCAAGCTGTAATGGGTAAAGCGAATATTAGAAAGGAGAATACATAGTACTGGTGTAATTCCAACTCAATATGTCAATGAAGAAAAAGAAATTATGATGTCTTATGAGTTTTATGAATGTGTGGAGACAGTTATTAGATAAAATACCTAACCTTGGATTGAAAAATTCTTGCGTACGATTTATATAGGGATAGCCTTGGATAAAGTTATAAATGTGTCAAACCACTCATGATTCAATTCTATTTCTTCGCTTTATTTGATTTTGTTGATTTCAATTAATCTAAAATTCAGTATGAAAATATTTGTTTAGGCTTTTCTGATAGCTTAAAGAGTGCAATTCAAGTCTATTTATTGAGCTTGTTAAATAATGCATTAAGCTCGAATTTAGAATAAGATTCATGAGCTCACTATCAAACTGACTTGCGAGTACTTACAGGTCGAGTTTCAAGTTTGCTCGATTATAGTAAATGAGCTCGAACCCAAGTTCGAGCAAAATGAACATGTATTTTTTTTAGTTATGAGTAATTTTAAATGGCTCAAGTTGAACCAGACTCAACAAGAATCTTTAGTTGTGCATTTACCTAGTTGCACTTTATAGCTACAATGAATATGAGTTTATTTGCAATCATTATTTTCATTTGAAAATGTGATTCCCTCTATAACTACAATGATTGAAATCAAGGGTGGAGCTAGATTTTAAAATTTGGAGAGGCCAAAATAATTTTTTTAAAAGTTAGGGGAACAAAATGGAGAAATAAATTTTTTTATACCAATTTATAAGGGAAATTTAAAAAAATTATGGAGCTTGGAGGCCTGGGCTCCCCCAGTCCCCCCTCCCTCCGCCCCTGATTGAAATCTTGCGTGGTATATACTTGATAAGTGTAGAATGTAAAAAGAGAGTAAAAATGTGATTCCTTTACAACTACAATGTTTGAAATCTTACATGTTATATACATTTGGCAAGTGTATGATGCAAAAAAGAGGGTAAATGAAGATGGAGGGCTCTAAAAGAGTGGAGTGGATATGCACTCTCAAAAAGACTTTGGGTTTACATACCTAGAAAATATGGGGAAAATGATGTTATGGGCTGTATTGGCAAAAAAATAGGAGAAAGGGGGAAAAAAAAAAAAGATGACATGGAGAGGTATCGAACCTGTGTCACCGCACAGGGTGGCACACTCACATATCATTAATCATCATCCGATCATATTATGTCTCAAAATAATAATATCTAACATGCTGTCCTTCATAAAAGAGAGGTGGAATGAAGCTGATTTAAAAAAAAAAATTAATATGAATATGATGTTGTATAAATAATCTATCTAATAACGAAAATGAGAAAAAGAATATTGAAATTGATAAATAACATGGTTAATTTTAATAATGACAACATGTTGGCTAATGAATAAATTAAAAATCACTATAAAAGTAAGATTGCTTATATTGATTTTATAAATTAAAATTGAAATTAATATTTCCACTAAACGAGGAATCTTAATATTTTTTAAACTATAACTAATTTTTTTAGCTTTGTAATATTAATTAGTAAAAGCCATCTTCTTTCTTAAGGAGTAAGTTATTTTCTATTGAATTAATCAACTCAATGAAAATGAACAGTGGCTAAAATTTACCTTCTAATTAATAATTAATACAATATTCTATGTGCTAATAATGATTTTATTTGTATTCCAATTGTCTATATCTTCGACCATAATATATCAATGACCTTTTCTATAAGGAATATTAATTGGGTGAGGATGATTAAGATTAATTTTTTCATAAATTGCCATGAAAAGATAACACAATACATATCTTGTAATATCGCGAAAAGATATTACTATATTAATACATTGAGACAAAAGAGAATTGGATGAGGATCATAGGTTAGATGATGTGTGAGAATGTTGCCTGGTGTGAGGACATGGGTTCAATTCCTTCCTATCAGGGGAGGCAAAAATTTTAATCAGCATGGGGAAATTAAAGTCAATGGAAATAATAAAAATAAATGTGCAAAATAAATTTACCTAAAATATATTTTTATTTTCAAATTTCAATATAATAAATTTTTATTGTTGGTTCTCAAATTTAGAAATTACAAGTTTTGTATTGAATCTATGATAATATAATATTTTAAAATTTTAAATTATAACAAAACTAAGCTTATTTTTAATGACACTTTTATCAAAAATTTTCTATATATTTCAAAGTGTATACTATACAAATTTGCTATATATGCATCGATCTGTCACTCAATAAAAATTAAATGAAAATTTTATTTATTTATCATTAAAGCTATAACTAAAGTCTCAACAAATACTTCATATTTGATCTTTTTGTCCATGTAATTACAAATTTTATTTATTTGTCCATGTAACGCCAAGTCGTATTCTTGTATTTAAAACATGAAAAATAGCATTATTTTAAGTTCCATCTAAATGCTTAAAAATTTAAAAAGTTTTTTTTTTTTTTTTTTGGTTAATTTTAGGGTGTGCACGGGCCCATGCTAGGCTGCATGTGAAATCCGCCCCTGCTCCCTATGCCATTTTTTTTGCCAATTATTCCCTTTTTTTTCTAATGTTATGAAATTTAATTTATAAAAAAAATAACCTTAATCATCCTCACCCAATTAATATTTCTTCTAGAAAAGGTTATTGATATATGATGATCAAAGATATAGACAGTTGAAAAATAAATATAATCATCGTTATCATTTAGAATGTTGTATTAATTATCAATTAGAAGGTAAAATTTAGTAGCATACCAAGTCATCATCTAGTGGTAATATACGACTTGACAATAGATTTGGGTTTCAATCTCCCTTCTCGATACTCAAAAAAAATAAAGAAGGAAAATTCAGTACAACAATCCTTTTTATTGAGTTGATTAATTCAATAACTTCCTCCTTAAAAAATAAGATGGCTTTTAGTAATTAAGATTCCTAATTTACTGAAATTATTAATTTGAATTTGAATTTATAAAATCAATATAAGCAATCTTACTTTATACTGATTTTTAATTTTTCATTAGCCAACATTTTATCATTACTAAAATTAATTTTTTATCAATCCCAATGTTTTTTTTTTCTCATTCTCATTATTATATAGACTAGTTTTTTTTTATGATGTGACTTGCACATTGACTATGTTCGTTATATATTCGTGCATATTTAAATTTTTTTTATCCATGTAATATTAAAGCATAAGTTTTTATTTAGATTAAAATAAATATAGTTGCTTAATTTGTATTGGACTTTCTCGTACAAGCTACTTGTAATATTACTCCTTATGTATTTAAAATTCTATTTTATTTATAATGAAGTGGTTTCAAAATAAAATTCAACCTAATCCCTAAAACTAATACTTTAGTCCCTAATTTATAAATGCAGATTTTTAAAATCTTAATAAGTGCCCAAAAAAAAAAATCATCATTTCATCTCCAACCTCTTGCCCTCAATCTCTAATCATAATGAAAAATAATAATAAATTATTTTTTACTACTTGGTGAAGAAAAAAAATGAGCAGATGATCTGAATTCATAAAGGTAATTACTTTATAGTGATAATATCACTTACCTAATGCATTAGAGAAAGGAATACATGCATATACACACAAATTCTAGAAACCTCAAAAAGTGATCCAAAAAGAAATATATAGTTCTAGGTTTTTTCGGGTTTTATAAACACTATTTTCTTTTAAATCAAACAAATTTAGAAATATAAATGAAAAAATATTAAGAAAATTAAAAATGATTAATCATCGAGAGGCCATTTATAAATCTCTTACTAAATTAAAGTTACAGTAGTTATAAATTAATTTAGTAACGAAAAAGAAAATAAAAAATAAAAAGCAAAAAAATTATTATTAAGAATAGAACTCTTTTCGCAACTCAACATATAACAAGAAATAAATTATATTAAAAAAAAATACCAAATTGAATTTCAAAAATCAACCCCTTCTTTAACTAGAAATACTGTAATTTAATAAAAGTTGATGTTAATAGACAAAAAAAAAAAAAAAAAAAAAAAAAAAAAAAAAAAAAAATAAGAGAGAAGACTTAGCCAAGTCAATAAATGAAAATTACAAAAAAAATAATGCTTAGGATCTAAATCTTGTTTCCTCTATTTTAAAAAAAAAAAAAAAAAAAAAAATAGAGAGAAGACTATAGCCAAGTCAATAAATGAAAATTACAAAAAAAAATAATGCTAGGATCTAATCTTGTTTCTCTATTTTTCTAAGTTATAAATTTAAAATAAATAAATAAATAAATTTATTAATTAATAAAAAAGATTACATAAAAAAAAATATTCTAGCATCGCCAAATTAACCTTCAATTTTCCTTACAACCATATAGAAAAAAAAGAGTATACTTTTTTCTTTTTTATTATCTATATGTATTTATTTAAAAAATAATTTTAGAAATTATATTCAATCAAATAGTTAAATGTAATTTTTTTTTTGTCCACGGATATCCTGAGCCCACTGAACTAGAACTAAATCATACTCCCAGCAATTATTTGCTCTATCCATGAGGATCGAATCCTTGACCTAACTTAAGGAAGAAGAATGTCGAACCATTCATCAAACACTCGTCAGTATAAAATGTAATTTTTAAATTGGCTGCAATTAAGACTATTTTAGAATATTTTAAATTTCATTAAGGTGATATTGAAAATCTCATTTATTCTGTCCCTATTTCCACATTTATATATAGTATAGACATAGATAGATTATTTATACACTCCTGGTCATGACATCATATTCATATTAATTTTTTTAAAAATCAACTTCATTCTACCCCCTCTTTCTTGACCTAGATTGTTTACTCAATAGTATTTCCTTGACCTAGATAGTTTACTGGACCAACATTTTGATTCAGTGAACCAACGATTTTGGATTGAAAGTGGTTTAGAATTGAGACTAGAATCAATTTGCAGATTTCAAGCTATTGTAGCCTTTTTTTAATTTTCTTATAAAAATTGGATGAAATCATTGATTTTTTTTTTCAATCCATAAATATATATAAAGGCATCTTTTGCGATCCTAATGTTTCTCTCATTCATTTCAAGTTTTATATATAATTATCGATTATAGATAGATAACTAGATT